AATGTATCTCGTAATCTCAATGCAGACAATAGTATGCACAATAATGAGGGGGGCAGGGGTTATTTTCGTTCAACGTAAATGCAATATTTTTTTGTTCGTACTACGTAAATTGAAAAAATAAATTCCGTAATTCTGTAATCACAGGCTAGACGTACAACGTAATCGATCAAATATTTTTTTTCGTACACTGTAAAAATGTGTCATTTTTCTCGGTACGTACAAGGATTTACATCCAAATAAAAAAATCGTAAAGAATAATCCAGGGAAATTACATTATAGAAACTGTAAAACGACTAGATGACAAAATTCACTACAAAATTGAATGTCAAGACGTAAAAGGCCCTCTAACCGAATGAAGAGCATTACGAGGGTAATATGCGCATGCATCTCTACACACGGCGCAGCAATGGCGGAGAATTTGAGCCGGAGAGCTCTTCGGACCATGCAATGATCCTTTTTTTAACACTGTCAACTGTAAAAACGTCTTTTTTTCCTTGTAAATTGTAAAACGTCCTTTTTATTTCCCGTAAAACTGTACCAGCTACCCCCTTGCCTCCCCTCAATAATGTTATTGCACATATCGCGATTAGTATGGATACTTTCGTTTCTAAATTAAAATACACACTAAACAGTTATCTTTTGCTAATATTTGTAACGTGAGTCGGAGTATCCAAGCTAAGACAACCGACCACGTTAGCGCTGTACGTCATGGTGTAAAATATGCGGTGTTCACACCTCACACCTCTGATATTATTAGGTAGGAATGAAGAATTGTCACTAGGCTCCCAATGCAGGTATAGAATGTGAATATGTGTAAATACAGTAGCCGGACGATTCAGTATTTAGATAAATTTCATGGAATTAAATCAAAACGTAATTCTCATAGAAAAATATAATTTGTAATATGTAATACTTTAAAAAATTCTTGCACTTGAGACACCAAAGTTTCATGGATAGTCGAGTAAACTGGTCAAAGGACGATCAGCATACCCGTAAATACACGGTTTTCATACACTGTCATCTAACGCGGTTAGGGGTTGGCCATAAGACCATTCCAGAGAATATGGAAAAACTGTTGCCATATTTGTGCTTTTCTCAACTCATGCGTGTAAATTATTTGTTATAAATACATTTTTTTCTAAGCGTCGCCTCTTGAGTTTTGATTTACTTCGATGGGTTTATTCTGGTCTTGGTATCGTATGTGAGGATGAAATCGCCAGAGGTTGCCGTCGGCGCTCGTTACAGGATTATTCACTAAGATGTACGACACGCCAATAGTATTCCTATCATTTATGGATGTCCACTGAACCAACTAATATAATGATGTAAACATGTGCGTGACAACTCGTCGAATTTCGTAAGGTACTTTTTTTTTTATCTCCATAGTAACTCTCTGGATACACAAACACACAGGCTACTCATAAATCAAAACACTGACGCCCCATTCCACCACGTACGTAATTTATTACAACAATTATCACAAGATCGTGATGCCACCACTGTCTAAACACGTCAGGTGGATTTGTCACGACTCGATAAGACAGATGGTGTTGCAAAGTAAACCGTGTACTTTGGCCTGTCATAAGTTGTTACAACTCGTTAGTTATAAATGTAGCAGATCGAAGTGATTTACACTCAGAAAAACCACTGATGTATACAGAAACATGTACATAATGGGTGTCATTAATTCCATTAATTCCGTCAATCACCATTGAAACACTGTGATTACAACGAGTAGGCATGTCGGGTACAGATTTGCGTAGTCGAGACATCCCGGACATGCACGGACCGTGTGGTGGCTACATATCTTGAACAACCGTGACAAAATTCAATATACACTCAGGCTCTTGTATATTTACTGAATTGTTTGCCCGAATAAGCTGGCGAATGTTCGTGAAATAAACACAAAACAGCAAATTATTTCACAGATCGTAATGAAATTGTGGTTGTTAGAGAAGACAACCGGTGCGAGTCGACGGGATTGAGCGGTAACTAAGAAAACAAATCTGCTCCCGAATTATCCGAGGTTATCTGGGGGTTGATCGCAAACATTATATACATTGTAATCGCCTCATCCAAGCACGCACATGCCCAGAGCAATATGTGAAATACTATTTAAGTTAAAATTTATGATTTTTCTGCTGACAAAAAAATGAAATATGTTTATGAATGTCATGAAAAGAGTACAAACTCGTGCCTTGTTTATTATTTTATTTGCACAGAACGTACAGCGATTCCTGGGATGTGTTCGAGCACAGTCCCTTTATCCCGGGATAAATGGACTGTGGTACGAGCTATGAACGTTTGTGTTATCATCATACTAGTAATACCGTGTGTTTATTGTGCGTGTGTTGGCTATGTTTAGACAGGCCCTTGTTTATTTCATGCATTGACAAGTTATGTCAACAACATTGGGATACACAAAACGGACAATAACAGGGGGTTTCGCATGGCTGGTAGTCAAGAATGTTCGCACCACTGAATGCACAATAAAATGTATTTGCGTACCTCCAAGTTTCTTCCATAACAAGAATATGATTGTGTGTAGTGCCAGCTGCTCATGGCAACATGACCAAAAGCAAATAATGACGAGTTCAAGTTTGTTTTTTTCAATCGTGCACATGATGGACAAAGTCTAACATAACACATCCGAGGCAATTGTATCCATCCGCGCCATGAAGCAACAACTATAGGGTGATGTTAATATGTATTATTTTGTTAGAGTAAACTTAAAACAATAATAAATTTATGTTTAACTGTATCTTTTGAGCACATGAATAAAACAAAACACGCAAACAAGCAAGTATTACTGTTAAACCAGTGTTTCACGGGGATCTAGTTTCACAGTGCTCAATGAGACGCGTTACGCTTTGAGTAAAGTGAGAAATAATGAGTCTTGGCGACGGTTGCTATGTAAATTGCGGCGGGTTCTATTGAATGCAGGTGAGTCAACTTACTATATGAGGGGGACCTTTTCGAATTATTCCACATTCTGGAAATAAATACAAAATTATGCATTGAATACATATTTCAACCCACGTTAAGAATATTTTTAGTAATGAAAATGTCAAAATCATGTCATGTTTTACGTTGTTCCATGCCAATACATGTGTGATGCACACTGTTTACATAATGGTTCGTTCCGTTACTATGACAAATGATGGATACAGGTAGTATAAAACAGCATTGCCGTTGCGAGGATTTCAATTCGTTTCCTCACGATCGACTCGTTACAGTCTCTGTGTGAGCTAAGGACGGAAATTTTGCAGACCATCTTCCTCAGTACTTCGTGCTTATAAAAGAAATCAACCGAAAATGGTGAGTAGACTTCGCCGAGTTTACCGATCTAGTTGTTTTTAAACATTGCGTTAGAATTTGCGGTAATTTTTCGATGTCTTTCTACATCGTAGTCCTGGGTATACAACGATATAAACCGTTAAATTCAAATTTGAAAGGTGATACTGAATTTGGAAATGTTATATCCGCTCTTACTTACATTTGCAGTCGTACAAGTTCGTACCTTAAATACTTAGTACATGTATGTGAAATTCAGTATGTTTTCACCAAATGTACCATCCGGCCTTACAGTTTAGAGAACCTTACTGGCCCCATCTTTTCAATCAAACGGCGTATCGATATAGTGGTTGCTACCAACAAACCGCGAATTACCACCAACTGACCTTTGAACATTTTTTTTCTCTCAACAGCGTGAATGTATTTCTGTCCACGTTGGCCAAGCCGGTGTCCAGATCGGTAATGCCTGCTGGGAACTGTACTGTCTTGAGCACGGAATTCAGCCCGATGGCCAGATGCCAAGCGACAAGACCATTGGAGGCGGTGACGATTCTTTCAACACTTTCTTCAGTGAGACCGGCGCTGGAAAACACGTGCCCCGTGCCGTATTTGTCGACTTGGAACCAACTGTAATCGGTTAGTATTTCTGTTTTATGTTCACAGTATTTCTATTGATATTATTTCATCGTATTTGAGACAAATGATGTTGTTTTTAATTTTAAACTTACCACTCTCAATGCTTTTCTATTGCAGATGAGGTCCGTACTGGTACATACCGCCAACTATTTCACCCAGAACAACTGATTACTGGTAAAGAAGATGCCGCCAACAACTACGCCCGAGGCCACTACACCATTGGTAAAGAAATTATCGACTTGGTTTTAGACAGAATACGCAAGTTAGCCGATCAATGCACAGGGCTGCAAGGTTTCCTCATCTTCCACAGCTTTGGCGGCGGCACTGGTTCTGGTTTCACATCGTTGTTGATGGAACGTCTCTCTGTCGACTATGGTAAGAAATCCAAGCTTGAGTTTGCTGTATATCCAGCCCCTCAGGTCTCCACCGCTGTCGTCGAACCATACAACTCCATCCTGACAACCCATACCACCCTGGAACACTCTGACTGTGCATTCATGGTTGACAACGAAGCTATCTACGATATCTGTCGCCGTAACCTTGACATCGAACGTCCAACCTACACCAACTTGAACCGTTTGATTGGCCAGATTGTTTCCTCCATCACCGCATCTCTTCGTTTTGATGGTGCCCTTAATGTCGACTTGACTGAGTTCCAGACCAACCTGGTGCCCTACCCACGTATCCACTTCCCACTGGCCACCTACGCTCCAGTCATCTCCGCTGAGAAGGCCTACCATGAGCAGTTGTCCGTTGCTGAAATCACCAATGCCTGCTTTGAGCCAGCCAACCAGATGGTGAAATGCGACCCCCGCCACGGCAAGTACATGGCATGTTGTATGTTGTACCGTGGTGATGTTGTACCAAAAGATGTCAACGCAGCCATCGCTACCATCAAGACCAAGCGTACCATTCAGTTCGTCGATTGGTGTCCCACTGGTTTCAAAGTTGGTATCAACTACCAACCACCAACCGTTGTTCCCGGCGGTGACCTGGCTAAAGTGCAGCGTGCCGTCTGCATGTTGAGCAACACTACAGCCATCGCCGAGGCCTGGGCTCGCCTTGACCACAAATTCGATTTGATGTACGCCAAACGTGCCTTCGTTCACTGGTATGTTGGAGAAGGTATGGAGGAAGGTGAATTCTCCGAGGCTCGTGAAGATCTCGCAGCTCTGGAGAAGGACTACGAAGAGGTCGGCGTCGACTCCGTTGAAGGCGAAGGCGAGGAAGAAGGTGAAGAATATTAGATTGCAGATCACCAAGACACTCGTCTGCAACTATACTGTCAAAAGATCCCACTCTAAATAGAACTATAAGACAAGTTACAATATGTATATTCGTGAAAAATGTTATTGTCGTTGAATTCGGGCATACATTAAAAGATCGTAACAGCAAAATAATATATTTGTGTGGTTAATGTAATTAAAAAGAGTGTCAGTAACTATGCCAACAGCTCGATTGTATGAATAAATGAGTAAATTGGTTATAATTATCCATATGTGCAATCCCAGACTGGTCAAGGCATGACAATATAGTTAATCTTTTAGACATATCCGGGCTAATCTTGCACCAGTGAGTCCACAATTTTGTTTTTGTTTTAATGTGTAATCCCAGCCTACATATTTACCATAGTAACGACAAATAATAATATGCATCAATGGTATCGATTCCAACTTGCCCAGATCGACGACGCTTCTGTCAATATGGTGCTAAAGTAAGCCAAACAATCCATCTAAGTCAATAGAACCGAACCCCGTACCCTGGCCTGCTTCTAAAACTGGTTTGGCAATATATCCATAATAATTACATTTACTCAACAATAAAATATTTTAAACCGTCACTGATCGAAGTCTTTCCGCACCCCAATTTCGCGTCATATTTTATTATATATTAAGTATATGACCCTGGAATTAGTATTAATGCCTTAACATTAAAACTGACCACATAAGAACGGTAACACGCCTCCGCGCCTGGTAGCGGGCATGTTTGGGGTTTGTCAGTGTCCATCATGATGGCTAATAAATGAGAACACCCTTGAGTGACTGTCTGACTAGTCGAAATATGAGTGGGCTGTAAAGTAGTTATGTTGGTAAACAGAAATTTCAGAGAGACTAAACAAACACGTAGTGTCAGTTATGTCGGGGAAAATTTCAAACAATAAAAATACCAAATTCTCATACCCCAAATACTAGACTGGTTATGTTTTGTTTTCGTTGGCAGACTTGCATCACACTTATTATTTGTTCAATATTCGCTGAGTGCCATTTAAATATAATAATAAAACTACGTGAGAAGACATATACTCATAGATGTTAACGTATATTTTTGATAGTTAAATATATCTTCAACGACTCGCTTGGTTTCGTTTCAGATCAGAAACGCTATTCGCCATATGCAGGCACCTGCCCTAATCAAATGTTGTAATCTTTTTAAAACTCAAACCCGCATAATTTTTTTCCAGATTTTCTTTTTTCAATATGTCGGCCAATTAAAAATTATACCCATTATACAAATCAGAGAAGAATATATAAAACTTGGCACAATTATTTGGTGAGAAAATGATCGTATTATTTGTGTTTTCGTGTTATACAACGATGACTTGCTCACCCAGGGCCTAATACCCTGCTAGAGCACTTTGACACAGCTTTGGAAAAAAGAAAAAAAAAACAAGAAAAAAAACATACAAAACCAATTAATATGCGTAAATATGTTTGCCATACACGTCTGACGCATTTAAGTCAAATTGTATATCAATAAAAGTGGAAAAACACATTTGCAAAAGTAGAAGGGGTTTTTTACAACATTGTTATACTAGTATCTATATATGAAACAGAGACTCAACAACTTTTACTCAAACTTCTCCTGATATAAGGCGATAAGGAAAGCCAAATTCGCCACATATGACAATAACGCAATTGGTTTCTTTGCCAAATACACATCATACCCCCCCCCCCCGTTCAATGATATGATCTCATACACGGAAGTAAACGGTATGAAATTTTTGGGATGAAAATGAAAGAATTGGACTTTAGCGACAAAGAGGGCGCCAATGAGCAATGAGCAATGGTCGGCTGTGAATTTTAGCGGACAGCACAGCACATCGACCATTATCATTGTACTTCAGAAATCATTTGTACGAAAACTCATCTAACCGATAGTGACTCATTACTATGTTTACTATGTCGTGCCGTGGTGACGTGTCAAAAACTAATAAAATCGCACAGGTTAATGACGTCATTGTGCGCGGAAAAACTGCGCATCAAGTTAACAGCTGACAACAACATGGCGTCTAGGCTGGAAACAAACTTGCAGCGGCTGCTTTCAAGATGTGAAGTGATGGCCGCAGAAAGGAGGCACTCTGACTGGAGATTAGAAAAGGTAAGACAGAGACTTATCTGATCGCACATTTTGTATCAGTTAATATTTATGACACATTACAAAAAGATCATCTAAACTTGGTACCTGCTTTTAGGAACGAGAGACCTGTTTCATCAGATTGTGAATCTTCACCAGGCACGGAAGTAGGGGGAGGCGCGCCTCTCCTTCAGCCCGCGGCGGTCTACTTCGGCCACGCCAATAGAAGTGTGCGCCCTTACCGAATTTCTGGATCCGCCAGTGTTCACATTCGTCCCTATGTATTACACTTTTGTATTAATACATTCAATCTAAGCAGTGACCATTGCTCCATATGTTGATATCATTACCAGTATGAATTGAAAACAAAAATGAAGCACTACAACCCATACCTGGCAAATAATACAAATGGAATGAGAACACAAAAGAGATTTATAAAATATTCTGCCAAACAAAAGAAGGAATAACGACCATTATTATCATTTATAGATAAAATACACAATAACAATACATCCAATATTATTGCAAATGAGTTTAAGCAACTACTTGACAACATTGCTGCCAAATGTCTGATAACAAAGACATCAATGAATATCAGAAGAACTAGGAAGAAGAAAAGGACATTCACATCAGCTCAGTGTACCATAATGAAAATAGAACTGGAAAGACTGGCCAGGCAAATGCAAAGAATAACATATGACAAAAACTTAAGACAAATATATTATACCAGACGAAAAACATTCAGAAAATATGCTAAAAGCTTCCACAAGAACAAAGAAAACAACAATTTAAACAACTAATTGAACTTGATTGAAACTCAGAACCACAGTCATTTTGGAAAGCTATTAATAAAGAAATCAAAGACAAAAGTAATACACAGGCACCATCAGTAAAAATGAAGTTACAACACCGGAACAACACAACCTAAAAATAGAACTAGAAGAAAAAGAAAAAAATAGTTATCCAAACAACAACTTGAATGAAGAAATAACAGAAGGAGAAATTAAAAATGCTTTAAGGAAAATAAAAAAATCACAAAGCCTGTGGTCCTGATGGCATACCTTCAGAAATGCTTAAATACAGCAACACAGCAATGATAAAAGCCCTGGAGAAAATGTTCAACCAAATGTTAAGAAATGCAGAATATCCAGAAAGCTGGAACATTAGTATGCTAACACTAATACATAAACAGGGTGAGTACTTTGACGCCAATAACTATCGTGGTGTGTCAGTTAGCAATACAACTGGAAAACAATAATATATTGAACAATAAACTTGTACAGTACTTAGAAAACAACAATATTATTCATCAACACCAAGGAGGTTTTAAGAGAAAACATGAAACCACTGATCATATCATCACACTGCATACTATAATCAAGAAATACCAACAACATGCGAAAAACTTATATTGCTGCTTCATAGACTTGAAAACTCGCTTTGATACTCTGTGGAACAACAGACTAATGTACAAGCTACAATGTAACGATATAAAAGGAAAATTTTATGACCTGATTAAAAACATGTATCAAAATAAGAAATACATGCTGAAACTCGACAACTGGATATCACCCACATTTACACTAGAAAATGGCATGAAACAAGGATGTCCATTAAGTTCAACCTTATTTAACATTTACATCAATGACCTTGTTAATTGAATTACAAATTCAAGGGAATGTCCCAGCATCACTTAACAAAAAACAAATTCCATGTCTTCTGTACTCGGACGATATTGTACTAATGTCTGAAAGTGCAAAAGGCCTACAAAAATCCATGGATGTTATGCACAACTATGTCAATAACTGGGGCCTTCGAGTCAATATTAAAAAAACAAAAACAGTTATCTTTGCTAAGAATGGACATCATACAGAAAATCTAAATATTACACATGGAAAAGATGAAATAAAGAAGACAACACAATATACTTATCTAGGTGTTACCTTTAACACTAATGGATCAATGGATTTGACAATGAACAGACTCGCTGAAAAGGCACAAAGTCGTCTATTTATAGACAGTAACAATAACAATATGTTATTTGAAACCACCCAACTACCCATTCTTACCTATGCTGGTGAAATATGGGGAGTTTGCACAAATGGAAACATATAGGACAAAACAAGTACAGAGAAATTTCATTTACAGTTTTGCAGACATTTAATGAGTATTAATAACAAAGCTAGTAATATAGCAGTCAGAATGGACATAAGAAGACTGCCTCTTTTATGCACTTTACAATACAGAGCACTTATGTATTATAAACACCTCAAATCAATGAATGAAAGTAACATAGCCTATAATGCATTGTTAGAGATCGAAAACAATAAAGAAATTAAGGATTACTACTTAACAAAACTTGTTAAAACCACTAATCTTTACAAAATAAATTTTGACATTACAAAACAAAACAAAAATTTCAAGAAATAACTCAAAGACATTACGAAAAACATTTGGAACTGTGAGTTGGAGAGATGGGACTACAAGCTGAGAACATTTAAACTATTTAAAAAAGCATTCAAAAAGAAACCTACGTTAAACCACCTTAGTGACAGACGGGCAATAGACACACTAAGCAAATTTTGTTTAAGCTGCCACAAATTACACATAGAAACAGGCAGACACACAAGACCAAAAACAAAAATAGATGACAGAAATTGTCCCAACTGTACAGTAATTGAAGATGAAATTCATTTTATCACACAATGTCTACTATATACAGCTGAACGGAGACATCTGTACTCCTTGTTTTCTCATATGGAGAAATTTGATTCAGTTAGCAGTACACAAAGGTTCATATACATTATGAACAACACAAACAAGCAATGTAGACTTGGAGCAATACACTACATACAAATAGCATTGGAAAAACGAAAATCTGTTGCAGATCAAATCTTTATTATTATTCACATTTTTAATTTAAATTTTTATGTCGATAGCATATGTATTATTTTAACATATTTTGTTTTATTATGATAAAAAGAAAAAAAAAACTTTATTACATGTAAGGTGTAAATCAAAAAATATAAATGTCAAATTTTCTTTACTGTTGTAATAAAGATTATTATTATTGTTATTATTGTATATATTTTCGTCCCATTTCCTTAGATTATCCTCACGATTTGGTGGTTGAGAATGACTTCCTTTATGTATTGGTAACAAGACAATCATGCTTGATGCATTTAAAATACAATCGGAAAGTATGTCCTTACAATATTATATACTGTATTTCCCGATAAATAAACAACTTTTACCATGAGTCGACTGTCCACCGTTTGACACAACTGCTAAAGTCACATTCGCTCGTTACCTGTGATTAAGACAATGTATTATTTAAATTCAAAAGGTTCTAACTTCCTGTACGTTATAATAATAAA